ATAATACAGTAAATACTAGGTATGCATTTGTCAAGATAATCCATTGTAAATATGTAGAACTTTTTTCTTGTTGTTTACTTATTTTTTTTCCAGCAATAACTTAGCAAATACAACTTATAGCTCTATTGGTAATTCTGGTAGATGGTTTCCTACTACACATTGATTACCTCTAATCCAAAATTTCCAAATCCAAAATGCTCCAAAATTCAAAACTTTTTGGGTACCAACATAATGTCACAAGTGAAAAATTCCACACCTGTCTCCTGGGATAAGTTGCAGTCAAAACACAAGTGCACAAAGAATATTGCATAAAATTAACTTTAGACTATGTATATAAAATTCATATGAAACATAAATGAGTTTTGTGTTTAGATTTGGGTCACATCCCCAAGATAACTCATTATGTATATGCAAATACTCCAAAATCTGAAAAAAAAAAATCCTGTTTGAATATGTGTGTCTCCCAAAAGCTTCTGTATTAATGCAGGATTGTGAAGTGATTAGATTGTGAGGGCTATAACCTAATCAGTTCATCCTAGTTTGAATAGACAGATTGGATGATAACTGTAGATTGGGTGTGGTTGAAGGAGGTAGGTCAATGAGGGTGTTCCCTGGAAGGGTTGTTCTTCCTGCTGCCTCTTACTCTTCACCCTGCTCTCTGCTTCCTGACCCTACCAGGAGCTGAGCAGCCTTTCTTCATTGGGCCCTTCTTCCATGATATGCTGCCTCATCTTGGTCCCAGAACAATGAAGTTGGTCATCTGCCCACTGAGACTTCTAAAATGGTGAATCCCTAATGCCTTTTCCTCTTCTAAGCTGCTTTTGTGAGGTTTTGGTCATAGTAATGCAAAAGCATACTAAAACAATCCCCCAAACACTGCTTCCAAGCATCTGGGATAAGGGGTATTTTGTTTTGTTTTCCTTAAGTTTTTACCATGTGCATGTAGTACCTCTATCATTTTTAAGAGAAATTTATCAGAAATATCTGGTTACCTTGAGGTTATGAAGTCCTCCCACAGAAAACTAAACATTAAAAACAATAAAGTATTAGAAACAATATTGGAGAAACAATGACAAGCAAGCAAGACTTAGAGTAAATTCCCTTTATCTGTGGTTTCAAGTTCGTCAACCAGGGTCCAAAAATATTAAATTAAAAATTCTAAAAATAAACAATTCATAAATTTTAAGTAACTTTATGTAGTATTTTATTATAATTCTTATATTCTATTATTGTCATTAATCTCTTACTTTGCCTAATTTATAAATTAAACTTTATCATAGGTATTTATACATAGGAAAACATAGTATATATAGGGTTTGGTATTGTACACAGTTTTAGGCATCTACTGGGGGTCTTGGCTAAAAGGATACTATTGAATGTATATTGTGAAACACTAGAAAATAAAGCAAAAGGAAAATATTTTAGAGATTGTTACTGTTTTCATCTTGGTATATATCTTTCCAGATCTTTTTTTTTTTAACATATACACAAGCATCCAGTTTAGAACTTTATACTTATTACAATCTAGGTTTTATATCTCTTAGGTCTCTTTTCTCTAATACTGTTTTTAAGAGAAGTTTCTTTTGATTACTTTTTTTTTTTTCTGTTCAGTGCTGGGAATTGAGCTCGGGGCCTTGCACATGCTAGGCAAATGTTCTACCCATGAGCTATATACCCAAGCCCCAGTAACCTGTTTTTAAACAGACCTGTAGGCAATTTTTTCCTGTGCCTCTGATATAGAGAATATTGAAGGAATATTTTTAGTATTTATCATCTTAGATGGAATAAAAAGGAAAGGATATTTCAATCAAGAATTTGTTGTTATTAAATTTACAGATGCTGAGATAGTGGGTATCTCACTGTTTTGACTCTTGTTAGTAGTAGTTTAGGTACAAGTTAATTAAAAGCAATCTCTTTATTGAGGTCAAAAGAAACTTGAACAGTTCGGTACTTTCCTATAGAAACAAAGGGCAGCTTAGCTGAATAGATAGAATACTAGGCTATAGTATTACTAGACTGAAACATTCTTAAAAATGTTGGTGGGAAGAGCTGATGAAATAATTTAGTTGGAAACAAAAGCGTTTTATTCTGCTGGAGAAGGTATGGAAAAAGAACTTGATTTTCATTTGCCTTTGTTTTTTGAGACATAAAAAAGAAAATAATTTGATTTGGTTTTGAAAAATTGTTGCATATTTTATCCTAAGTCCTTGCTGTGTCTTTCCCCCTTTCTTCCTCAGATATATAGAGTGGCCTGGGTTAGATGAGTATTATTAAAAATTGTATTACTAAATTTAAGTAGAGTTTAAAAAGAAACAAGAAGGTATAATATATAATTTTATATATACATATATAAATCATTAAGACTGGAATAAATGCAAATATATTAAAAATTAAGTACTTTTCCCTTTAATTAAAATTTCTTTAAGTAGTTCTTTGGACATATAAGTTTACATATTTTAGTACAAATCTATCATAGAAATTCATTCATTTATAATTTGTTTTATGTTTGGGTATGTGATCTCTCACTGTTATGTATTGGAGTTATATTGTGTGGTCTTCACAAACTTCAGCAGTTTTCCCTAAAAGTTTTTCTTATTTTCTAACCTAGCATATAGATACTAATATACCCTCTTCTGTTCCCTCCTTTATGTGAAATTTTGTGTAGGGATGTTTTAAAGATTGTAATCACTCAATTAAAAAATGTTAGAATTTTTTTTTTTTAAATTACACAGAGTGAAGTTGAAATAGAGGATTTACCTTTTCATCCATATCCTCTATAGTCTTGCTTACTTTCCCTTGACAGTTCCCAAATGGAAGCCCTCTAGTTTCTAATGTCCATTAGCTATTTAGATTTGCACCAACAAAAATGCTTTTTTTTTTTTTAAATTTTAGATAGATTTTAAGTACTATGTTCCATTTCCTTAAAATTTTCTTTTTCATCTATTATATACTCTACCCTTTCCCTTAAGTCAGTGTTTCTGTTATTTTCAGAAGATTATTCTGTTTCCTAATTTAGAGAGGTAGAAGGAGAGGGAAAGGAATAGGAAGGACAGAAGAACTGGGAAGAGATCCAGAAGAACTTGCTGGAGGAGGAAGGAGACAGTTTAGCTATGTTTGTACCTTCTTCCTTCTAGTACAGCTTATAGATTGCTATGCATGCTCTTGATCCTATGTTCTTTAGGAAACTTTTCCTTCAGTATTAAGTCCCCTTCATATTTCTATAATTTTTTCAATCTTACTGACCACTAGTCTGTCATTAAAACTTGTTTAAATATCTTTAATGCTAAAAATATCCTGTTACCAATTTTCCGTCAACTCTGATTCTCTTTCTAACTGAAACTCAATTTCATTCCTTACTCAAATCTGGTTTTACATGCTTCAGTGAAAATCCAACTTCTAGTTTTATATATTTTAGTAAAAACTTTTCAAAGGAGTTTATTTATGACTTTTGATTTTTTTTATCTTCTCATTCTCTTATGCACTGCTTTGTCGAGTATTCAACATCATTATAAAATTGGACACTGTTGGTCATTTCTTTGCTTTTTTTAAAAAATATTAATCACAGGTTTACGTATAGTTCCAATAATCAAGTAGTAAGCCACAAAGATATTAGAAAAACAAGTTTTCTTCTCTACCTCTTCCAGTGCCTGAATTCTATAATGCAAAGGCACTACCTACAGCCTTTTACCTAATTTCTGTGCTATTTACTTACTGATATTGAAATTAACTTGCATGCACTGCTATTTTTGATTCAGTTTTACACATTATTGAAACTGTACTATAGAAGATAGGAATTTGATATTCCTTACACCCTGAATGAGGATGTTCACAATTTGGTAATACATAAATTTTAGATAATATAGTATTTAATGTTTACCACATTCTATTCAAACAATATAGTTCATAGCTGAGCTATGGCATAACTTTTTTTAACATTTTGCCCATAATTATAAAAAATTTCTATGTGAATTTTAGGATAGGCTTTCTTTTTCTGTGAAAAACATCAGGGATTGCATTGAATTTTTTTGAGGGTATTTGTAGAAACTTTACTTAAAGTAGATAAAAACTGGAAACAAACCACAGGTCTAATGTAGGTGAATGGATAAAAAAAATATAGAATGTCAATGCCATGGACTCCTACAGTAATAAGAAGGAAGAGTTTGTATATACAAAAAGCAATGGATGAGTATGAAAAACATTATTTTAGTAAAAGAAGCCAGGTGGAAAAGACCTCGTATTAGTTGATTTTGTGCATTGAATTTTGGTCACTTTAGACAGTATTGATATCTTGATAAGAAGTCTTCCAAATCAGGAGCACAAAATGTTTTTCTATTATTTATATGTTTAATTTTGCTCAGCAATGTTTTGTTGTTTTCAGTGGACAAGTTATTTTTTTTACCTCCATGGAAGGTTTTTCTTAAGTTTATATTTATGCTATTGTACGTGGAATTATTTTCTTAATTTTCTTTTCTGATTGCTTTTTATTAGCTTACAGAACTATTTGTGAGGTCATTTAATATGTACCATCACTTCATTCTGTATTTTAGTAGCAGAAAAGTGATTTGAACTGAATTCAAATGGCCACCAAAATTCAGAATAAATGATAATTTCTGAATTAAAAGCCAAATATTAAATTTTAATTTAGTTTTTGTTTTTAAAACTAAGGTTAAGCTTATCACAGTGAACTAATTTTCTAAGTCAAAGCTCTATATCTGGAGGAATGCCAGCATATCAAAATAATGTTTTTAAAAAACTATCCCTACGCCTGTCAAAATAACATTTTGAAACAGTTCAAGTTCTTTTAACAGTAAAAGATCATAGACATGATATTTCTGGTATATAATTTAGGATGTCTCTTATTTTTCCTTACTAATGTGTTAATACAGTTGTTGAATATGTAATAGTATTGTTTTTTTTTTTTTTTTTTCCTTTTTGGGGTGGGTATACAGTAGTGTACAAATTATATACTTTAGCTTTTTTTTTTTTTTTTCTATTCACAGGCTACAGAAACACTATTTAGAATGGGTGTGGCAAGAGGAGCCATCACAACATTAAGAAATGGAGAAGTAAGATGAGAATTTTGATATATAATTATTAGTTAATTCAGTTTAAAATTTTTAGAATATAAACTATGGTGAATTTTATGGTGCTTTGTGTAACAAATAGAGAAATATTTGTATAATATCAACAGTACTTAATACATGAATCTATTTTAGTTCACAGTTTATTGGAACTAGATCTTAGGTTGAAAATAAATTCCTGATTCTCTTAATTTTGGTTACTGATTGTTTTTACTCTTAAAAGAAAATGACACTTTCTAGGAAATAACTTATACAAATATTTATTTTTAATGAAAATAATCCCCTACCTTGTTATTCCTTCTATTTTATGTTATACAGAACTGATACTTATTTCTTAGGATAAAGTGATTTGAAATGTTGACATTTATCATAGGCTGAGAGAAGAAAGGTGAGAGAGAAATTTGCTTCTTTTTATTATTGAGGCTCAGTTAAGCTGTAAATTCTATTTATGTGACTTTTCTAAATGCCCCTATTAATTATTTAAAAAAATTTCTACCACCTGAAATAAATTTCTGTTCCAAAATTATTACCAGCTTCTCACTTTTTTTCTTTTTTGCTCCTTCCTTAAGACATATTTAGGTTGAGGTTTAATATTATATTATGTTGCAGTGTTCCTTTTTATTCTGCTAGAGGATACATAATGATAAAATTTAGTGCTTTCTATTTTGGAATTAAGTTCTTTGTTACTTAATGTAATATTTATTATTCAATAACCTAAATACTTAATAGTGAAAGTGAGTGACTATCTAAGGAATTAAGTAGAATTGTATTACCACATGATTTTAAATTTGGTCAATATATATACTCATTAGCAACAAATGTGCCATCATTTGCAAAGTATTACTCCCTTAAGTATTTAATTTTATATTGGCAAATCACTTTGTTATAATTTTTAACTATATTTTGTACATTAACAAAGACTTAGTTGATGCCTTCTTATTTTCAATAAAGTGTATGATACTATTTCAAGGGAAAAAAATATCCTGGTAATAAGGTCAGATGTATTTGTCTGGCCAGAATGTCGGATAATGAGTCTCTGATTTTATTAACTGCTGTATGATGTTCAGTGAACTTTTGAACCTCATCATCTGTTATATGTAAGAACTTTGGGGATTAAATATATATAGTTTTATAAATAATCATATTGGATATGTCCTTATTTTGTTGAATGGAGAGGAAATAGTTAATATAATTGGTTTTTGATCCATTTCTTCCCCTGTTATTGGGTGTTGCTCCATGTGATCAACCTGGTATACATGTATTGATATTCTGAAAAGTATTTAAGCTCTCTCACCTTCAATTTCTAAAATGAGTAAGGTATGCAGTTTTCCTTATGTTTTAACGCTCTGAAACTTGAATGTGTTATCACTATCTGCTAAATTTCACATATTAACACCTTGTAAATTGGAAGATTTCTAATAAGTATAATATTTTAGGGTTGATAGAATAATGTAGTTTAAAATGTACAGTGACTAGGGTAGGCCACTAATTAGTTTTAACTTAATAATATGACTTTGGGAAGTAGAAAATTAAGACAAAACAGAACAAAGATATCATTGAATACACACAAACACACAAGAGGCATAAGTTTTTGGGAATGGTGGTCTAGGGTCTATGGAATAGATGATATGATTTATGCCTTTATAGGAGTATGCTCTCTGGTGGGGAAAATAATTCCATTGATAAACCTGTATTGTGAGCAAAGAATTTGGGAGAATGTGAACATACTCAAGTTTGGGTTGAGTCTGAAACTAGTGTTCCAGTTTCAGTTCCAGTTAGAGTATGCTATACTCTATCATCCAGTAAATAGAGAATTCATATGAGAGGAGGGGATAAACTTAAAGATTAACAATTTAATGTGTTATATAAAACTGAAACAGAAATCACTATATTTATCATATTGGAAAATTCTTAATATGCTAAGGGAGGAGAGTAGTATAATTAGTTTGTATGTCTTTGGGTTGCTACTGTGCTTTCCCAGTATTGCAAGATAATATTTGTTAAGCTAGTATTAATAGGTAATTTCATAATACTAATACTAGCTAGGGGGAATAAAGATTGGTATATTCAGCTTTGAATAAATTTGTTATCTGAATGATTATAATGAGCTTTGTACGTGTATCCTTCTCTGTGTTCTGTCTTTAACATTGCTTTTTATCTACATATTGAGCATTTCTGACTAGTTGTTAAAGAATTTTTGAGACTAGAAAACATTTTCCTCATCTTTGAAAATAAAAAGATAGTTTTTGAAGGACTTTGAAACTTACCATAAAAATTATAGTTCATCATAGGAAGTTTTAAGGGGTTGAGTGAAGGAGTGGGTACATTATCTTTTAAAATCTATATGATAACTGCAAAGGAGAAATAATGATCATCTTACAAGTTACATATTTTGCTTATGGTTAACCAGCTAAGAAATAGGAGAGCTAGGATTCATATCCCAGTCTCCAAAATCCATTCATTCCACAATATAATCTTCCTACACATAATTCACTTACTTAAGAATTTTCTAAGTAGTTCTATAGAATACCTAGAATATACATTATAGGCCTCAACAAAGGTTACTTACCTTCAATGTAACACGCCCCTCCCGCTTTCCTTTATAACTCTACAATAAGAAAAATTACTTGTCCCCAAATGACCCTCCATAACTCCAAATATGCCCCTTTTTGTGTTCCTAGTCCTATATAATTGTCATTAGTGTGACTGTTGAAAATTATAGTTAAAATCTTTAAGATTTAAGTAATTAACAATGATTCTTTTAAATGTTCTCATCTTGAACAAGTTAAGTACCATTCTGTAGAAACTGAGTTGATTAATCTGCTTTGGCTCTATTAATTTTTTGAATTTTTAAAATTTCAGGCATAACAATTTTCGTTTACTCAAAAAACATTTAGTTTATATATGTGTTTATTTGGGATTATATTTGGAATTTTAGAGCAATTCATGAATGGAAGGAGAAATAACTTCTTTTTATTTAGTAAGTACATTTTGAGCACTTCTACATTTCTGGCATTGTTTTATGTACCTGTTATCTGTTAGTAAAGGAAACTAACCAATATCACTGACCTTGGGGAATTTATAATAGAGTCTGTTAATAGCTTACTTTCTAGTTAGGGAAGAAAACAAAAGCATTCAAAGCAATTAGGAAGTAATTGTAGTTACAAAGCTTTAAAAGAAGGTATAAGCAAATATATGCTGTAAAAGTACAAGTAATTTACATAATGAAGGAAGGAAGAAGTTCTTAAAGTAGGGTTGTTAGTTCAGAAGATTTGTCAAAGAAGATACCTCTTAAACTGTGCCTTGAGCAATGGATGAGCCTTATGGAAGAAGAAGAGGTTAAAAAGCACTGGCAGCTACGAGAAGCAACACACAAAAGGGAATAGTTAGATTTATGGAGGAGCACTGGGGACAAGTAGCTTTTCTTATTGTAAGTTAAAAAGGAAAATGGGAGGAGGGTGTTAGGTTGAAGGTAAGTAAGGACCTATTATATATATTCTAGGAACATTGTAATTATTTACCTCATTTATACATCAAAGCAACTGTGCCTATAAAATATGGTGTTTTTTGGGGGGGTACCAGGGATTGAACTGAGTGGCACTCAACAACTGAGCCACATCCCCAGCCATTTTTAGTATTTTATTTAGAGACAGGGTCTCACTGTTGCTGAGGCTGGCTTTGAACTGTGGATCCTCCTATCTCAGTCTCCTGAGCTGCTGGGATTACAGCCTCCGCTCCTTCCCAGCTAAAATATTAATGGAAGAAATTGAAGAGGTCACATACAAAAATAGAAACATCTCATGTTCATGGTCTGCAGAAACCAATATTCTTAAAATCTCCATGCTATCCAAGACAATCCCAATCAAAATACAAGGGACATTCTTCACAGAACTAAAAAATGCAATCCTGATATTTGGATGGAACCAAAAGACGCTGAATAGCTGAAGTCATTTTGAGCAAAAGGAACAGAGCAGGAGGGATTACACAATCTGACTCCAAAATATACTACAAAGCTGTAGTAATCAAACAGCATGGTATTTGTGTAAAAACTGACACATAGACCAGTGGAACAGAATAAAGATCCTAGAGGCTAACTCACAGATCTATAGCCAACAGATTTTTCACAAAGATGTTTAAGAACATGCATTTTTTTTTCAGTAAATGGTGCTGGAATAATTGGGTATCCACATATACAAGAATGGAACTAGAGTGCTATTCATCACCAGTTACAAAATGCAACTAAATATGGACCAAAGATTTAAATATTAGTCCTGAAACTGTGCAATTATAGGGAGAATACTTTAGGTCATTTGAATGGGTTAGGAATTTTTGGAAGAGATCCCCAAAGCACAGAAAATGAATCGGATTTCATTAAACTAAAAAACTTTCACACAACAATGGAAATAATTGTCTGGGCAAAGGAGCAATGTACAGAATGAGAGAAAATGTTAGCAAACTATATTTATGATAAGAGATTAATATTTAGAACATAAGAATATATAAGGAACCCCCCCAAACTCATTAGCAAAAATAAAACACTTAACAAAAAACACAAGTAACATGATCTAACAATGAGCAATAGACATTTCTCAAAAGAAGGCACACAAGTGGATAATAAATACATGAGAAAATGCTCAGTATTACTCATCATCAGGGGAATGCAGATCAAAACTGTAATGAGATATTACCCTTCTCCAGTAGAATGGTTATTATCAAAAAGACAGAAGATAACAAGTGCTGGTGAGGATGTACAAAACAGGGAATTTACACTATTGATGGGAATGTAAGTTAGCACAACCATTATGGAACATAGTATTGGAAGTTCTTTCACTAAGTAAAAATAAAACCGCCATATGCTCTAGCATTTCCACTATGGAATATATATCTAAAGGAAATGAAATCATAGAGACATCTGTACTTCCATGTTTATTGCAACACTTTTTACAATAGTCAAGAAATGGGAACAACCTAAGTGCCCACCAGGT